GAATTGGCAATCTTCCCGAAAAACGTAGTCCTACGTTAAAATATTGGAAATATATTGTGATTGTGATATGATAGATTCGAAACGTTTTGAAATGCAACAAATAATAGCAATTCCACGGTAATTTCCGATGTCAGATCTCATGCCAGATTTGAAAATAGGTACCAAAAAAGAAGGCTTTTTCGGATTTCCGGATATATTGAATTTTTCCAAGACAGGCGTTGTAAAGGAAGGTAGAGTTCTTCTGAAAGATTCTTCAGGAATACAGGTGCTACCCCATCAGGTCCTGGTCCTTTTGATGCGTTCACATTTTTACATGATTTGACTTTTTCGACTTTAAGATTGTATTCTTCATGTGCTGAGATAATGGTTGGGTTGAGTTCATTGCATATGTTGTGATAGTTCTGCAAATTCTCAGATGTTTTTTCCTTTTTGTATTTGAAGAAAGCGCAAATTGAAGTAGCAGTTGATGAACTATGACACTCTATATAAATTCAGTTCCCAATTGTTACTTTCTCACGTCTCACTCTTTGCTCGAATGTTTAGCTGTTCAGTCCGTATTTTCGCTCAAGTTCTTGTTTCGATTTTGATTCATTTTGTGCTGTCGCGTTGCGCGGTGGAAGTGTCGCCACCTTCTCGCGTTCTGGCAAGTCTACTTGAACTTGCAAACACGAAACAAATGGTGCGTAAACGTGCCAATGAGACAGCAGCGTGCCCTTCTAAGAAGGTGCTAATCAAGCCCAGTGCGTCGCAGGTTGACGCCGGAAAACGGGTACTGCAAGCCAACCAGTACGCAGTACTCCCGGAAGAAAATGGCGATAGTGACGCCGTTCCCAGTGCTAGAAGAGAGCGGATTCCCCCGCTTTTCACGCCGATGAAGGATGCTGCCAAGCTGGGTGCCGAACTGGCAAAACACAAGCTGGTGCCTCGTTTCAAGCTTTGCAGCATCGGTACCAAAATCATGTGCTCTAGCCTGGAGGAGTACAAACAAATAAGATGAACTTCTTCACGCATGATCTGCCAGCGAGCAAGTCACTGAAGGTGGTTTTGCATGGATTACCGTCGTTCGAGGCGGCTGCGGTTAATTCGAGCTGGAGCGACTTGAGCTCAAGTTTGAGATGGTGTACTCGATGAACCGGCGTTCCAACCACAATAAGCTTCCGAGACCAGTTGCCTGGTGCACTTCACGAAGGGATCCACCAGTCTTGTGACTCTGAGATCCAAAATCCGGGACCTGTTTCAGGTCATCATCAGCATTACAAACCCCAACATCGTGATGTTACGCAGTGTATGAACTACCTCTCCTACGGCCATGGCACCAAAAACTGCCATATGAAGAAAAACTGCGGCAAGTGTGCTGGAACTCACTCAACTGCGTCCAGTGAGCAAGATGATGACATCGAGCCAACGTGTGTCAACTGCGGTGGAAACCATCAAGCCTCCAATCGCGGCTGTCACAAGCGAGTGGAGCTCATGAATATTCGTCGGAAGGCTTCAATCAACAATCAGCCCGGTCGCCTCCTGTACTCACGGAAGTTCAGTACCCAGCTCTCCAGTCCTGGCGTCATGTTCCGAACCTAGCCCCACTTCCGCTCAACAACCAACACGCCAATCCTGCGAGTATACAAATGGTTCCCAACAGTCGGACAGTTCAGCATCGTCTCTGCTGCTGCTGCGGCCCAGCCTATTCTAGGTTCATCCACCGCCTATGGTTTATCATACGTTGTGGCTGTCTCAGGTGAGCCTGTCGACGATTCTCCGTTCACTTCGGCGGAACATGTGACGCTCGTGACCGAGGTCATCATCATCATGCGCAACTGCAAGACTCGATCTAAACAGCTACATGCTGCCCTGTCCCTTGTCACTAAGTATGGACTTGAAGCCCAAGCTGAACGTCTTCCTTCACGACTTTCGGCTCGTAAGGCTTGACCACACCAGCTCCGGAGAAGGGGGAGTAGCCATCGCTGCTAGACGGAACATCAGCTGCCGACTACTGCCAAGCTTCCAGCTGAAAACTATCGAAGCCATCGGAGTTGACGTGAGCACATCGCTTGGTTCTATGACCATCATCGCGGTCTACTGCCCCAAGCAAACCAACATTAGGGACGGCTCGGCCGCAGACCTCTGAAGAGACATCATCAAGCTAACACGACGGCGGCAAAATTTCATCATCGCTGGTGACCTGAATGCCAAGCATCAAGCCTGGGGCAATAGTCGGCGAAACCAGAACGGCACAATCTTGTACAATGATATGCAGGAAGACCACTACAACATCCTGTGTCCGGACACTCCCACCCGGTTGAGTCGATCCAGAGCTCATGCCACCATCGACATCTTCATCAACAACTTCTGGCGATAACATCTCTCAACCTATCGCCTATCAGGAACTGAGCTCGGACCAGTAGAGTAGGCTCCTCGGCCAATAGGTTTCAAGTTTCCCGGCGAAATAACAATCGTGTCAACTGGCAGCAGTACCAGCGCTGTGTGGATACAGCAATCGACTACGACGTCCTACCGGAGTCGTTCGAAGAAGTCGATCGGTGTCTGCAAACAATCGAAGAGGCGATATCCCGTGCCAGGGAGCAACACGTACCAGCATCCAGACAGGTGAGTCATACTCTGAACCTTGACATCCCAACCAGGCTTCGTAACACCATTCGTAGGCAGTTCCAGCGTTCTGGGCTGCCCCACTTGAAGATCAATGTCATAGACTAACCAAAATTATCCAGGCCAGGATGGCGGAACTTAGAAATAACGATTTTGCCAACAAGATTCGCTCTCTCCCAGATTGTTCAAAACCATTTTGGAAGATGACCAAAATTTTGAAAAATAAGTCGAGACCGATCCCTCTGCTTTCCTCTGTTGACCAGAAAGCGGACCCATCCCTACTCATAACCCCAGCTGAAAAGGCCAATGCTTTTGGCCAACATTTTGTGATTTCACATAATCTTGGCCAAACCATGGTGAGCCCCCATGAGCCTGCCGTTCTGGAGGCAATGTCTAGAGTCGCTGACACCCCCGTAGTAGTGCATGATGATAGTAGAATATCGGCTGATGAGGTGATAGCAGCTATTAGAAGCACTAAAACATGAAGACCCGGCATGGATGGTGTAGTCAATCTCGAGTTGAAAAACTTGAGAGTATTGACTTCGTCAACCATCTTACCGTTATCTTCAACAAATGTTTGGAGCTTGGCTACTTCCCTGCATTCTGGAAGTTAGCCAAAGTGATTCCAATACGCAAGCTTGGTAAAGATCCGATCAGTGCCAAAAGCTATCGACCCATCGCCTCTTGTGGTCCATCTCGAAGCTATTCGAAAAATTGATACTCAGCCGTCTGCTGGTGTTTTCAAATGACAATAACATATTTTTCAAAGAGCAATTCGGGTTTAGGAAAGGCCACTCTACCATCCAGCAACTCGCAACGGGTTACTAACATCATCAAGCGGAACAAGTCCGTTTCCAATACATCTGCCATGGCATTGTTGGACGTCGAGAAGGCAATGTCTGGCATGATGACCTAGTGTACAAGCTACCTCGTGAAGATCATCAAAAACTACTTGTCGGACAGATCATTCCAGGTCCACTAGAGCAATGTCTCCTCTGATACGTTCAACGTTGATCTGGGTAGCATGCTTGGGCCTATCCTATTCAACATTTTCACGTCAGACGTTCCTCCCCTGCCGGGTGGTGGTATCCTCTCAATTTTCGCAGATGACACCTCCATTATCTATAAGACTAACTACAATCAGACCTAGATGTTCTGTCCGAATATTTCAAGATCTGGAAGATTTGTATCAATGCAGCTAAACCACAAACCATTCTGTTTCCACACTCGAATTCACCTCGGATTTTTCCACCTGCTTGATGGACCTTGGCGTCCATCTTGATAGCACTCGCATTGAATGGTCGAGTGAAGTAGTCTACCTTGGTCTCACCCTCGATAGCAAATTGCTATTCCGATCCCATGTGGACAAGACATCCACCAAGTGTAACATCCTGATCAGGTCGCTCTACTCTCTGATAAACAGGAAGTCCACCCTGTCCCAAACAAGCTTGCTGTCCACAAGCAGATCATTCTGCCGGCTATTGAGTATGGTATGCCAATCTGGGAGAGTTGTGCTAAGTGTCACCACCTAAAGCTTCAGAGGATCAAACAAGATCCTCAGAATGATCCTTAACAGTCCACCGCGAACTCGTAATTGTGAGATTCACCACCTGGTTGGTCTTCAAACACTCGTGGAGCGAAAGACGTCCACGCTGGAAAAGTACAGAGTCGCCTGTCTGCGATCAAACCACCAGATCATTCGTGATTTGGCAACCTAGTTTAAGTAGTTAGGTATGTTTCTGTGCTCAAGTGGGTAGGTTATCAAATTTTTAAATTCTAACGGAAACAAGCCTTTAAAAGGGTATTCTGAAAATTAGCCCTAAACACAATCATCAAATTAGAATAACTAATGAACTAGAACAAAGTTAAAGAACCAAAGGCTAACCAATTGAAATATAAAACCAAATGTTGAAACTTAAAAAACCAGCAAATAAACGTGAATTAAAAAAAAATACTTTCTTATTCCTCAATAAAAGTTCCTAGAAGCTAGTCATAACTTTAGTGTTACTATGGAAGCAGTTTAAATATCTGAAATATTGCTCTAACTTTGGTTCTAGCTGTTGCCAAAATGGTCGGATATTTCGATAAATATTTGAAATCTCATGGGTGATGTTTTCAAGATTGAACTTTTTTAAAATTCTGGGCTTTAATTTTAATAATAATCAACGCTTGGGAAAATGTACAAATTATTAATTTAGCAAATATATTATGTATACCGAATCATGAGATTTCGATAAAATTTAGGATAATGGTACTCTGGAAATTTTCAAGATATTGGCTAAAACACTTTTTTTTTAAATCCATGACATTGAATTTTTTAAATAAATCAAACTTCTGTAAGATTTGTGACAGAAGAATTAGTTCCAATGATTTTTATGTTAATAAACCGAACTTACCGAGAGTCCCATTCCGGGTCTTTGATGTCAGGTATTTATGGAAAACCGGTGGCACCATCTGCAAGATCGCTGCCGTCGAGTAGTTGGCGGAATCCGCCGGTCCCGACTCGTTTGAGTCTGCAACAGTTGTAATAGTAGAAGAAGAAGAAGAACAAAAATGGTCGATGTAATAACAGAAAAGCTTCATTGTCGTCTGGTGGAGTGGGTGGTTGGCGGGATGCACACCCACGGATATTTGCACTCCCAGCTTACAAACAACTTACCATAGTTTATCACGTGGAATTGCAGGAATGCAAACAGAATAAAGACGATGATGGCCGATCGGATGTAAAGCGTGTGGCGTCTACGTGATAGGGCACCTGTGTTTGGCAATGCGATCGGAATACGTCGTCCTGAGGAAGAGGGACATAGTATAAAGGAGAAATTGAGTTAGAATGGTGGTATACAGATGCTTATGGCAGGGATATCGTTCCAGAACGTGATGGGAAAAGGATGAGGTTATCCTTCGAAATGATGTTTCCTAATTCAGCGCACAGCTCGGCAAGCATTGGTTGGTCTTTTCTTTCCGTCAGTTTGATACAGGGGACTCACTGGGATTATAAATAGCAATGTGAATCTCGAGTCTGTCGAGCAGAAAATTATTTTCCTTCGGACGGTTTTAATCTCATGTTTTTCTTTAGAATGGGTTAGCTCTGAGGTTATTTAATCAAGCTTGGAAAATGTGAATCCAGTGGAGATGAAACCGGAGTTGGTTTCAGGTCGACAGTAGAGTAATGGAATGTGGCATACTTTGAGCAAGATAGTTATGGCTCCCTAATTTGAAATTTGACAGATAGACCTTCTATCCTGGATTGCATCTTAGCGTATTGAATGACGGGAAAGTATTCGCATTATGAAGCGTTCAAATTCCAAACTCAATCGAAAAAAGAAATCCATTTGAATCAAGTGAACAAGTAATCATACGCACATACATTCAAACAGCCAGATGAATCGACTTAATTTAAAAAAAAAAAAAAAAAATACGTACGAAGGAAAATTGAAAGAAAATCCCCCGAAAACTCCCATCCCAATACGATAATTTATGCGAGCGTTTCCGTTGAATTCGCTAGAAGAGGGTGGAAAACTCAAATTGAATGTCGCACCATTGATAGTAGCACCAGTCGAAAAGCCATTAATGGTTCCTTGGAAGCGTGATCAGAAAGTTGTTCCTTGCTTCGATTTTTGAGAAAATAAAAAGTTTGTGAGGAAACCACCGTAATGGTTCAAAATTATCGTCGTGACTTTTCCTTCCACCGGAAATTGCGAGTGTGTGTGTGTATAGGCTTAATTAGATGCCCAGGGATGTTACACTCTAACGAGTTCTTGAATGATGTAGAATTAAAATTTTATGAGACATTGCGGTAAACTTTCGTCGGAGACAATTTTGAAACTTTTCACTTTCCTGGGTAAACGACGGCAATATTTGTTCACGCAATGAAAGTATTTGAAAATTGTTGAATTACGAATAACATACTTTTCCGAACAGCAACAAAGCAGCAAGAAAACGAAGCAGTGTGGGTGATGATCATTAAATAAATTGAGCAACTTTCCGTGAGCTTCGCGAGAGGGTAATAAAATATTCGGAAAGGAACGCCGGAGGCTGGAAAAATTTTGATTTCCCATTATTCGTTGGTTGCCAACGGGTTAACATTGCTTTTACGATGCCGGGGTTTCACTCAAAACAGGGATGTATCTCTGGATGATGGATCGTTGTGATGATGAAGATGTTGTATAGCTTGATTGCCATACTTTCGAGCAATGAAAAAAAAAACGACTCTTGATATTCTCGCACATTTCGCTTCGTCCCTGGTACTCAGCGAACACTTTTCTGGGAAATAACCTAATATTTGCCAGGTATCATTCCGCATATTTAAGCTTTCGGTTGATGTTATTACATAAAGCCTTTGCCGCGGTGAATGGGAAGAAATCAGAATCGGATATTGCCATCGGTGCTTGAAGACGACTGGTTGAAGGAGAAATCTGTCTTCTTCGTTCTTACCCAGCATAAGTCTGGAAGCCGGATGGAAAATCCAAATGGAATGAAGCCTGGCACTGTCTGCCAGGGCCGGGTTAGGAACTTCTGGGGCATATTTTACTAGCTTTAAGGTGGATCAGTTTTATGACAAAAATAAGTAAACATTGAAGTGTTTTACAGAAGTATCGATTCACTTGAACTTATAAGCAGAATAGAAATGGTACCGCGTAGGCTTTGATAGATATATTTTTTGATTGATCGATTAATTTATTATTATTCTTGGTAATTCAGTTTTTATACTGTAGAACAATTGTTCCTAAATTATGAAGAACAAATTGTCCAGAGATAAATTAGAGCAAAATGAAATGTTACATAGCTTTTTGATAACAGAAACAAATTAGTTTTTTGTCTATTCAGAAGCTTCATGTAGCTAGACCTGCGCCCAATACTGATAATTCTGATAACATGCTTGATGTTCGGTAACAATTTTCGTTTATTATGATTTTAAATAACTGGGTTAAGCCCAATGATAAAACCTTTTCCGCCAACCAAAATGTTTAAGCAACCTTCTGTGGATCTCAATAAAGTCATAAAGACTGTACTCGTAAAAAATCATCACCAAAAATGCATTTTAAGTCGGACTCATCTTAACTCTCAGGGAATAAATAAACAAATATTAGCTTTTTTCCTAGGCTAAATGCCCGCATCTTGTACACTAAGATTATTTTACCGAAATCTGTGAAATTTTACCGAAATCTCAACAGCTGAACGTTCGGTAAACAGTTCGGTGACTTTTCACAGATTTTCTGAGATTTTTCACAGATACTCGTTGTTGAGATTTCGGTAAAATTTCACAGATTTCGGTAAAATAATCTTAGTGTGTGGACTTAACGCAATCCATCAAATCCTGTACAACACTTGTGCCATCTTTCTTACACACTTTCATCCACTCTTTCTTCAAATCCTTGTCGTTTTTGAAGACCTTCCCTGTTTTCCGGAGCTTGCCCTTCATAATCGCCCTGAATTTTTCTATTGAGCGAAGTTCTGGTGAGTTTGGCGGATTTGGCTACTTCGGCACAAAAACAACATCGTTGACTTACCAACGTATCACTCCATCACCGGTTTTGCACCAGATCCGGCCAAAACAGAGTGTCACCTTCGTGGGACCGGAGGAAGGACAGTAGGCGCTTCTGGAGGCATTCTGTTTTTATATATTTGGCCGTTGAAGGTGACGGTCGTTAAGTACGGCTTGCTGAATTTGCTGCACCCACAGATCGTCTGCCACACTAAGTACTTCTTGGCAAATTTGTCGACCTTCTTCTTTCGGAACTTCTCCGGAACATTCAGGCGGGACTTGCCGACGAAAAACTCCAGGCCGAGGATCTGTTTGGCATCCGCTTTAATGTACGTCTTGTAGTCCATTACGATGCATTTAGGTTGCACCAACCACTCGCGGTACAGCTTCCTGGCGCGGGATTTGCTCACTTATGTTTATCGGTTCGGTTAGGCGCCTTCTTTACCTTGAAGACATAAAGTCCGGCCCACTTAATTGTCTGCTGGACGAACCAGACGGAAGAATTTACCTTCTTGGCCACGTCCAGAATCGAAAGGTTCGGATTGCGCTTGAAGTAATCCTTCACCTTCCTTGCGTTCACGGGGTCGGTCGTCTTCGCTTTTCTTCCTTGAACGATTTTACCACACGGGACACGGTCGAATTGTCGATTCCAAACTGTTTCGCGATCCACTTGTGGGACTGGCCTGGATTTTCCACGACTGCTCCTATATTTTTTTGTCCAAGCACTTCTTTCTTGGAAGCCATCTCGATTACCACTTGACAGATTGTGATGAGATTTTGCACATGTAAACATTACACTCTAAAGTAGTTTTACTCAAAATGTCATCAATTTTTCCTATGCAATAAAAAGTTACACACAAAAGAGTACAATCTTTATTGTGACCAATAATGCTGATATAATGCTAATATAAAAATTGAAAAGCCTATAAGCCTTATATTGCAAAAGGTGTTACTTTTGATGACATGTGAACCATATCATATTAAATGTTATTATAGTTTTATCACAAAGGGGTGAAGCCATAGAGGTAACTCTAAGACCAGAAGGTCCCGAAGAAACGAGCTCAACTTTTTGGCTCAGCTCTGGTACTATTTTCGGTCCCAAGCTAATCGATTCACCCCTCGAAACATAGGAAAAGCCACTAACCTCTCATTTTATCTGTCAAACTTTCATAGCGAATCAAAACAAACATAGTGTAGTGCTAGAATTTTGACTAGAATGGGGTACGCAATTGATTTGCTTGGGACCAATAGGCTAGTCAAGTAGTGAGCCAATTTAAAATCGTTAGTTTCGTATTGATTGTTGGTGAAGCAGTGAGAGATTCGGATTAACAGGCATCAAATATGGATCGGTCTCGCCAGGAGCCTTCCAATGCTGCTTGAAGTTCCAATTTAGGCGTTGACATACATTTCAATGGGGTGACTTTGCTTTTAGCTGCCACCAATCTGCATTCTGTGACGTTATAATTTTCGATTAAAAATTTAACTGAGCACTTTCTACTACACAGTTCATCTAGATAAAATTGATAAATAGCAGATTTTTAGCGATGGGCCCAATCTTAGATCCATAGGCCAACATTAGAGCCATTTCCCCTATTATATTATATCGATATTCAATCGATAATGACGTCTTCAGGCTCTACAAATTACCATGAGCGTAAAACTTCAAGATAATTCTAAGAAGTTCAGGGAACATCGTAGAAATTGAGGAAACTTATTAGAAATTCTCCAAACTTCATAGACCTTCAGAAAAACATCGTACACAGCTAAAAAATAATTGAAATAGGGGAAATGGCTCTAATGTTGGCCTATGGATCTAAGATTGGACCCATCGCTAAAAATATGCTATTTATAAAATTGATCTAGAAAAACGCGTCATTGGGACGGTACTAATGGATATTTTTGGTAGCTATTGAAAATTTAGTCGATTGCTGAATTTATGTATGGGCCCAAATTAGGGGCATTTAGGCCAAAATTACATTCATTTCCCCTATCACTTTAAAGTGGATGCACTTCAATCGTGTCGAAAAGGTGGTGTAGTATTACTTGCCAGAAAGGACAACATATAATAATACAGTGCATGAACTGACTACGCTGCTTTTACTGCATTTGTTTATTTTTGTGACCATAAAAACCACATGAGATTTTCGACATTATTGAAGTGCATTCTCTTGGATGTAATGTTAAAATTAATTTTTTGCTGTGTAGAAACAAGGAATTTGGAAAAGTGCTGAAAACTGCGTAGAAGTGGACAATTTATTTAAGTTTGAGGAGCTTCGTAGAAGTTAAGTGAACATTATTTTATT